TCCTCTTCCTCATCATCCAACTCCTCTTCTTCCTCATCCTCCTCCTTCCTCATCGTCCTCATCACCATCATCATAATCATCATCAGCATCATCATCACCATCATCATTGTCGTCATCGTCACCATCATCATCAGCATCAGCATCAGCATCGGCATCAGCATCATCATCATCATCATCAGCATGGTCGTCATCAGCATCATCATCGCCATAATCATCATAATCCGCCTCCTGCTTCTCAATTCCTTCTCCTTATACATATGTTCTCCCTGCCGCCCCCCAAAGCCAGTATGTTGGGCGGGCCGGGCGTTTCGCCTGAGACGCCATCACCACTTATGGCTCTGAAGCTTGAAAAATGGCAACCGCTTCACACATGGAGGGCGGGTCGTTTTCAAAATGTGGCTCTCGCCGTAGCGCCGCGCACGCTCGTCCTTTAAATGCGTAAGAGTTTCACGGATTGAAAACGGGTCGTTTACATAATGTGGTTCTCGCATTAACGTCGCGGACATTCGTTTTTAAAATCTCAGGGGGCTTCACCGATTGAGGGCGGGTCGTTTTCAAAATATGGTTCCCGCCTTAGCGCCGCACACATTCGTTTTAAGAATTGCAAGACGTTCACGGGTGGACGGCGGGTCGTTTTCAGAATGTGGTACTCGCCTCAGCGCAGCGCACATTCGATTTAAACATTTGCAAAAATCTGACGGGTTGAGAACGGGTCGTTTTCAAAATGTAGCCTTCGCCTCAGCGCAGCGCAAATTCCCATTAGAATTTCCCACAGGCTCACGGATTGAAGGCGGTTCGATTTCAAAATGTCGCTCTCGCCTTAGCGACGCGCACACTTGACATGTGTGTATATATATGTACATATATAATGCCCGATGTTCACGGATCCTCATGACCAACGTACCACAAACGATGTTTTGGAAGGAGTCAAAATCATGCTGGTGCAACAATTATGTTGGCCCGCGGTGTTGGAATCCCAACAATGGCCTTCTGGCACGATTCCAGATCGTCAAAGCGCAGCAGTCAGGTTGATACGTAGCGTTGACATCCCGAGAAATATGGTTAGGCATGATTCAGTTTTTGTTCTAACGGTTGTCTTCCAACGAGGCAGTTCCCTCAATGGAAATGAACCACCGCTGTAGGGGCCTATGAAGAGGGAGATTGGAAGGAGGGTTAATTCCGACATCGTCGATGACTCTTGGGTTTATGCTCGTCATGTTCCTCCTCCTCATCATCATCATCCTCCCCATCATCCTCCTACTCATTATCATCATCCTCCTCGTCATCCGTCTCCTCTTCCTCCTCCTTTCGAAACCTTTCAATATCGAAACTATACCGCTATCTAGCGGCGCACCCGTTCAGAGGATGTCGTGCAGATGGTTGCCGAACTCGCTAAGCTCGTCCTCACCACCTCTGGGCCTAACCCCTCGCCCTGCAGGGGTGGGCTGCGCCCTGGGGCCTACACCCTCGCCCCGCCGGGGTGGCGAAGATGATCCAGTCGAACGTGTCGCCGTGCACGACGCGCGCGACCTTGGGCCTAACCCCTCGCCCTGCCGGGGTGGGCAGCGCCCTTGGACCTACCCCCTCGCCCCACGGGGGCGGCGTCGAAGTGGTCGGCGCTGTCTTTCGGGCGCCAGGCGGCTGCATCCGCGGTGTTCCGGGAGCCGTCGCTGCGCTGGCGGCCGACGCCGCCAAGGTCGCCCACCTCCTCGGCAAGGCGGAAGCGCACCTTCTTGGCGATGGGTCCGAAGTGGTGGCTCTCTACGTAGTGTAGTGGTCGTCCTCGGGCATACCGACCTCGCGGGGGCCAGGTCCTCGCTGGCGCAGGCGCCGAGGAGCGGCGCCCACCGCGGGTCCGTGGCGGGCATTGCCCTGGGTTCCTCGGCGGTCCAGTCCGCCATTTCTTCGAAGGTGAGGCTGCTCCAGGCCGCCGCTGACACCTCCTCCGAGCGGCCGCCTTGCATGCTGTGGCGCAGGAAGTTCGCGTAGGCGGCCAGCTCGGCGATCGACGTGTCCTCGCAGGTGTTGCGCTGGTCCTTGGGGAGCTGCGCGTACACCGCGACCGCTCCCATCGCTTGCACGGTGTCCCAGCGCGCTCGCAGGGCTGCTAGGTTACCCTCGCTCTTGTCGGCGGCGTCCTCGGTTTCAGCCTCGAGGTCCTCCTCGAAGACGCGCCACGGTCTTCGGATTGTCGGTGGGATCCGGCTTCTCTCCCATACGGCCCTGTTGATCTCGAGAGCCCGACTTCCTGTGCCTTCCACGATGTCGTGGTCTGTAGGCTCGCGGTGCTTCTCGAGCTCCTCGAGCTACTCCTCGCTGCCCTCGTCGTTGTCCTCCGAGTCCTCCTGCTCGTACTCTGCGTGGCCCTCTGGAGCGCGGTCCTCCGCGGCCTCTGCTCTGCACTGTAGCTGACGTCGTCGGGTTCTGGATTCGCCGCCAGCTTCTCGCACGGCGTCTTCGCCGTTGCCTCTGCACTGTAGCTGGCGGCATTGACCTCGTGCTTCGCCCCCCGCTTCTCGTAAGGTGGCTCCCCCGTGGCCCCTGCACTGTAGCCGACGGCGTCGGGTTCAAGCTTCACCTCCAGCTTCTCACTATGTGGCTTCGTCATGGCCTCTGCCCTGTAGCTGACGGCCTCGGGGTCTTGCTTCGCTTCCCGCTTCTCGCACGGTGGCTTCGTCGTGGCCTCTGCGCCGTAGCTGACGTCGTCGGGCTTGTGCTTCGCCTCTCGCTTCTCGCATGGTGACTTAGTCGCGGCCTCATAGCTGTCGGTGTCGGGCTCTTGCTTCGCCTCCCGCTTCTCGCAAGATGTCTTGAATTTGTTGTCCACCGCGTCCTCGTCCACGTCCCCGTCCTATCCGTCTGGGCCCTCGTCCAAGCGGATCTGTAGCTGATGACGGTTGGGCTCCGACTCGCCGTGAATGCAGAACCGTAGCTGATGACGTGCAACTGGGCATTCTTCTCGCACGTGCACGCATGGGCTGGGCCCTGCAGCGCCACTGCCGTCGCATCCGCTTCCACTGCCCGCGTCCCCGCTGCCACTGCCCGCCTTCGGGGTGATGCCACCAACTATCCGCCTGCTTTTGACCTTGACTGCCACTGCCCGCCGCTGCTGGCGCAGGCTGTTGAACCAAGATGTTGTGTTTGAGCCAAGCTGTTGTTGAGCCACGCCATTGTTTCTTGATTCTTGACCGCTGCTGCCATTGCCGTCGTTTCCGCCAGCTGCCTGGGGCCACGCACCTCCTTTCTCGCAGGGGTCGTTCGCTTGGGCGCTGCAGCTGATGACGTCTGGCATCCAGCGCAATCTCCAAATAGGCTCGTGATGCGCTCATTGCTACCACTGGTGCCACTCTCGCAATTGGCGCTGCAGCTCGGAAATGTGTTGACGTTGAGACTGCAGTTGATGGCTCGCTGCTCGCTGCGCCGCCACCTGGCGCGCTTTCCGCGAGAGGCGGACCTGTTGAGCCCAGGGGTTCGTCTGCTGCAGCTGCACCGGCGGCTCCACGCTCTGCCTGAGAGCGTCCTGCCAGGGCCGTGCCGTATGACGAGGCTCCATCGCGGCGCGGTCGGCAGATCCCCCGAACGCACACGCTTGGTGCCGGCCCGCGCGGCGGCCCCCCGGCGGGGGGATAGCCGCGGTTCGGGCCCCCGATGGCCATTCTTCCTCCTCCTCCTCCTCCTCGACCTCCTCCTCCTCCTCCTCCTCCACCTCCTCCTCCTCCTCCTCCTCCTCCTCCTCCTCCTCGACCTTCTCCTCCTCCTCCTCCTCCTCCTCCTCCTCCTCCCGCCTCCTCCTCCTCCTCCTCCTCCTCCTCCTCCTCCTCCTCCTCCTCCTCCTCTCCCTCCTCCTCCTCGCAACGCCCCGCGGGCGAGCGCCGTGACCTCCACGAGGGGGGGTCGAGGGGATCGAGAGTCGAGGCTCCACAGGGCCGAGGGTCCAGGATGTGAGAGGCTTCTTGGGCCGTGGGGGGGGCCCCTGGGCCGTCTTGGGCGGCCCTTTGGGCCCTCCTCGGCCGTCGCGGGGCCCTCCTTGGACGCCCCTTTGGGGCCACCTTGGGCCGTCTTGGGCCCCCCTTGGACGCCCTCTTGGGGCCACCTTGGGTCGTCTTGGGCCGTCGTTGGGTCCCCCTGGGCCGTCATGGGGGCCCTCTTGGGGTCGGGGGTTGGGGGTCGCGGATGGGGATCGACGATCCCTCGACCTCGAGGGTCGAGATTCTCAGACTCGGATCGAGACACCTAAGGGCCGAGGGTCCACGATTTGGGGGATCGGGGATCGGGGATCAGGGATCGACAATCCCTCGACGCGCCAAATCGCCTCTGCATCGCCGATGCATCGGCAATGCATCGGCGACGCATCGGCGACGTCGGCAACGCATCGGCGCCGCCAGCGTGGATAGACTCAGGCTCCACATCGAGGCGCACTGCCAACACGTCGGCGATGCGGCACATTCCTCCGACCCCATCTACTCGGACCCCGTTTGCCCTTTCCCCGGGACCAGCTTGTTTATTCATCCCGCGTCGTTTTTTGACGGTCCTGGAGCCGGCGAGGGCCCCCAGGGGTTGGAAACGGCCAAAAGCTTCCTGTGATGATCTTTCCACGATGCGATCATTTCTGGGTTCGTAGAGGCCTGGAGCCCACGAGCACTCCGAAGAGGGCCTTCAGAGGCCTAAATCAATGATTTCCCGTAGGTTCTTGGAAGATTTAAGCCTTCTCGTCCTTCTCAACTCTCAACTCTCAACGCTCAAAGCGGCCCAAGACACCCCCAATGGCGCCCCAGGACTGCCCAGAGGGCCCCAGGAGGGCCCCAAGACGCCCCAAGAGCACCCCAAGACGGCCCAGCCCAAGAGGGCCCCGAGACGGCCCTCGCCTTACGACCGCGATTGACAAACACAGTTGTCGTGGCCTCGATGGTCGAGACGCCGAGCGGAGCTTCGCCGCCGTCGCCGCGCCGCCGCGGCCCAAGCCGCCGCCGAGCCCCCCCCCCCCCTGGAAGAGGGCGGTCCTGCTCCTCGTGCAGGCTCGACACGTACCGCGGCAGGCTCGCGAACGAGTGCTCCTCGCTGCGGGGACCATCCCTCCCCGGAGGGAGGGAGGAGGAGGAGGAGGAGGAGGAGGAGGAGGAGGAGGAGGAGGAGGAGGAGGAGGTCGAGGAGGTCGAGGAGGAGGAGGAGGAGGTCGAGGAGGAGGAAGAGGAGGAGGAGGAGGAGGCGGAGGACGAGGAGGAGGTCGAGGAGGTCGAGGTCGAGGAGGTCGAAGAGGAGGAGGGGCGCGGCGGAACGGCGCTGCTCCTGCGCCCCCGCCCCGAGGGGCGCTGCGCCTCCCCGCTCCGAGAGTGCCCCTCGCTCCGAGGTGCTCCTCGCCCCAAAGAACCCTCGCGCTGTTTGCGGGCACCACGACGGGAGGCGTCTCGCTCTCTGTGTGGCCTCTGGGGGCCCCCTTTGTGGGGCCTCGGCGCCGTGCAGAAGAGCGGCTCGGGGGGGGGGGGGGGAAGTTGTCCCGGGGACGGGGTCGAGGCCTCCAGCGGTCGACACGCTACGAACAAACAACACGACGTCGGGCGGTCGGGGCCCGGGGGCCCCCCGAAGAGGCCTCCACGGAGGAGGAGGAGGAGGAGGAGGAGGAGGAGGAGGAGGAGGAGGAGGAGGAGGAGGAGGAGGAGGAGGACCCCCTTCGCGTCGTGAAATCTCTTTGTCGGGCGTCGTCTGGGGAGAGGGGAAGAGGAGGCGGAGGGGAAAGGCGTGACGGCCAACCTGCAGATCCGCTCGTCGCAGCGTCCGCTGCGGGCTTCAGGAATGGAGCATGGAGCGATACGAAGTACGCCCAAGAACGTGCCAGCGCCACGGGCGCGGAGGAGGAGGAGGAGGAGGAGGAGGAGGAGGAGGAGGAGGACGACGATCTTCGCGTCGTGGAAGCTACCCCAGCAAAGCACCCACCTGCCGCAAATGTGAAGAGGCGGGTCGAGGAGTGGGAGGTCGGCGGGCGAAAGAGCTGCTTCCGGGGTATCCCTCGGGGTTCCCTAAGCGTGACACGGGGGCAGAGCACGGCCATGTGCACGGTAGCACATGCTTTGCCCAAGACCGTGGCCGTACAGGGATGAGGGCACGGCCGTTTGCAACGAGGTGCACTTTTCACAGAGGATCGCGGCCGTGTGACAGGGGTGAGAGCGCACGGCCACATGCACCATCGTGCGTTTGCTCCGAAGGATCGTGACCGTCTGCTCCACATGTAGCTGGCACTGCAGCGAGACCGCGATGTCCGAACCAATTGTGAGGAAGTCTCCGGCGAACCCGCTGCCGGCACGGGCGGGCAGTCCCTCCCTGTTACCTCTGTGGCACTCTTCTGTGCTCCGTCTTCAACTATAGCACAATTCCAATCCTCCAGCGAAGCGCGAGTAGGGAAAAAACACGACGGGCGGTTGTTTTTAACTACTCATGTTCGGCCCCTGCGAGCCCCTACTGAACCCTGGGAGCCCCTACTGGGCCCCAAGGCCGTCAAAAAAAATACTCGGCATGAAAAATGGTCCCTGGAAATGGGTCCAGACTTCTGGGGGTACACGTTGTTAAAAAACGGGTCGCAAGAGGTCTGGGTCCAGAGGCTTCCAGAGACTTCGAGACCGGGGGGGTCAGGCTGGGGCAGGCCCAGAAGCAAGAACGGTCGGCATCAGACCCAGAAACCAAATAGAATCGGAGTGTGCGCCGGATTGGGCTGCCTCGGCATGGAGTCGAAATCTGATCAGATCGGCTGCTCCAGGATGCACGGGCCGCATCGGATCGCCAGAGCATCGGAAACGAATCGGATAAGGCCGGCCAGATGGTGGGCCAGTTTTCCACCACCACTACCATGGGCAGGACGGGGGAGAAAAAAGGATGGGGAGGTCCTCCTCCGCCTCGTCCTCCTCCTCCTCCTCCTCCTCCTCCTCCTCCTCCTCCTCCCTCCTCCTCCCTCCTCCTCCTCCTCCTCCTCCTCCTCCTCCTCCTCCTCTCCTCCTCCTCCTCCTCCTCCTCCTCCTCCTGCTCCTGCTCCTGCTGCTGCTGCTGCTCCTGCTCCTGCTCCTGCTCCTGCTCCTGCTCCTGCTCCTGCTCCTCCTCCTGCTCCTCCTCCTGCTCCTGCTCCTGCTCCTGCTCTCCTCCTCCTCCTGCTCCTGCTCCTGCTCCTGCTCCTCCTGCTCCTGCTCCTCCTCCTCCTGCTCCTCCTCCTCCTCCCCTCCTCCTCCTCCTCCTCCTCCTCCTCCTCCTCCTCCTCCTCCTCTTCCTCCTCCTCCTCCTCCTCCTCCTCCTCCTCCTCCTCCTCCTCCTCCTCCTCCTCCTCCTCCTCCTACATATGGCAGTGGTGGTGGAAAATCGGCCCATCACCGGAATCGATATTGAACCGGATCGATCGGATCGAAATCGACCCTGCAGCGGCGGGGCTGGTCGGCCCCTGGGAGGGAGATGGCAGCCTCAGGATAGGCTCGCCCCCTAGCCACTAGCCCCCCTCGGGCCAACCCGCCCTCTGCATGCCCTCGACTAGAGGCCTCCCGGACTCTCTGGTGGCCTCCAGAGGCCTGCAGCACATGTCCGCGGAGCCCTCTGCGGAGTCCTCCCGAAGTTGCGCAGGAGGAGGGCCAAACCCAAGCGTGCAAGCCGGGGCTGGAGGGGACCCCCCCGAGCATGCTCGCGTCGTGAAGGAAATCGCAACGGCAGGTGTTTGGCCGGCTCGGCTTTGGAGGACCATCGCCGGGCCCCAGGAGAGTCCAGAAACGACTCGGGATGAAAAGCCGGTCCTGGGGGCAGGGCCGTGACTTCCGGGGACGCCGCGTGGAAAAAGCCAGGCCACCGCACGTCTGGGCCTGCGCTCGTCCCAGCACGGCCTGGCCGCCCAGGCCGCTGCTGCCAGAATCCCTCTCCCCGCAGCGAGTGCCCGCCGCCCCCGCCCGCCTTCCGCGGCCGCCCGCCGCCTCTCCGCCCCTCTCTCTCTCTTGCTGCCGCTGTGGCAGGGCACGCCGCGCGCCCCGGGCTGCCAGAGCGCGCGCGCGGGGTCCCCCTGCCGCGCGGCGGCGGCAAGGGAAAAAAGTCCGGGCCTGCGCGCCTGCGCCGGAGCTCGCTCTGGCGAAGGGCCGGTCTCACGCGCAGCCGAAAAACCCTGGGGCCCCTGCGGACTTCCAGGAGGCCCCGGGCGCCCTCCGGGGACGCCCAGAGACCCCGGCGTCTCGAACGCCCCCTTTCCGAAAGAGAGGAGCCTCCTTGGGACGCCCTGGACCCTCCCGACACGGACCCCCGACACCGCGACTGCTTCGCGACGTGGACCCCCAGAGGTCTGGACCCTTTCCGTGGGAGCAGTCTTTCACAAAGGGGCCCAGGGACACACAACTAAATACACACACACACACACAAATCCCAGGATGCCCCATATTTCCCCATACTTTCTGGGTTTTCGTTTTCCCCCCCACCTCCCACATTTTCCTTCATTTTCCTGGGAGTCGACGATGACTTGTGCCTGTGATTTTTCTCCCCTCATGATTTCATTCTGAGTCGTTCTGCCGACGGTCCTGGGGCACGGCATGAGCACCCCCCAGGGGCCGGAGACGCTGGCAAAAAATCACCTCGTGATCTTCTTCGCGGCGCGAGGGGTCTGGGACGAAGCCTCCCCTGGCCTTCTCGCACTGCCGCCTCCCCACCCAGACGTGCGAGGTCCTGATCTTTCCATACTTGGCCCCCAGACGTCCCGACCCTTTCCCAAAGGCGGGCTTTTTCCATTCCGCATCGTTCTGTCGACGGTCCCGGGCCCAACGAGGGCCCCTTTGAGGCCGAAGCCAGCCAACAACCCCACGTCAGGGCCATCCCCTCCCATCCCGCCCCCGCCCCTGCCCCACCCACCCCAAGCGCGCCGGAGGTCTCCTCGTTGGTGAGCGAGTTGGCGGTGTGAGTGAGCAGCGAACCTCGGATGGGGCCCAGGGCAAGAGAGACAGAGAGATTGAGTTTTTTGTTCCACCGCAGAGCATCGGGAAGCCTCGCGCTACACTGTTGAACACAACAGCGAGGCTGCGCTACAGCGAGAGACAGGGGATAGCATGACGGCCGCCGAGCTGCAAAGTCGGCGGGCCCACGCGTACCTGTGGGACCTGTGGGACGACCTGCGACACTTGTGGGTTATGTGGGACCTGTGGGACCGGCGGGGCCTGCGAGACCTGCAAGATCTGTGGGACCTCCGAGACCTGTGCGATCCAGAAAAATTGCCCTCGTTGGGGCCAGAGCGCATTTCTGAACGACGGGAGCACAGCGCCGATTCGAAAATGAAGCCCTCGCTGCAGCGAAAGCATCATTCGGGAAGGAGCACACCCGATAGACCCGAGAAAACACATGAGAAAAACTCGTCCACGCCCCCCCAAAAAATGTATACCAAAAACATACGCGAATGGGGGGGCGGCTACTCTCAGGACAATATCTGGACGCATTTGGGAGAGAGAAGAGAATGGCATTCAGATTGTGTTACTTTGTTATTTGTTTTAAGGGGAGGGGAGTCCACCACCATAGGAGGAGACAGTCCTGAATCAAATAGACATTGACATCCCTGAAGGGGTGACACCACTTCCTCCGCTGGCTACCTCTGGTAGAGCCGCCGCAGTCTTACTCCCGCCGCCTTCCGCATCCTTCTGCCGAGGAAGAGGGGTCGACTCCTCGCTCCCAGCAACGTCCTCTCTGGAACGCGCCCCAGATGGACCGGGAAGGGGTTTTATGATATTTTCATGATCATGACGTCGACCCCCAAAAGTCTGAGCCCATTCCGCGGGACCAGTTTCGTATCCTGAATCATTTTTGGACCGTCGAGGGGCCCGGTGAGGGCCCCCGGAAGCCGAAAGCAGCGAGAAACCCTCCCTCGTCACTTTGCCATGACCCGAGGGGGTCTGGGGAGGAGGCTGGCCGCGCCAGATAGATCGGGAAGGATGGATGGAGCAGAATCTGCGGGACGTGAAAGCGACCACAGCCACTGCTTTTCTTTTCTCGCCGCCCTCCAGCCAGCAGCAACGAAGCAGTGGTTGTGGTCCATTTACTTAAGCTTGGCACAAGGGAAATGACCACAACCGCTGCTTCTTTTTCGGCCGGACATTCCGGGGGGCCTGCTGCGGCCGGCTTGGTGGCCCGTTGAGGCCAGCCTGGACCGCCATGGGGGCTGTCCGCGAAGCCTTCCCGATGGGGGCGCGGAGGGTGCGGAAGGCACGCCGCGGAGGGTCCCCCGGCGGCCGTGGGGCACCGAGCCTGCCGGGGGCGTGCTGGGGCGGAGCCGTGCCCGCGCCGCGGCTGTGGTCCTCTCCCCGTCCCGCACGGAGAGCCCCGCCGCCGCGGCCCCGCCCGTGGGGCCGAGCCGGGGCCCGCCCAGGGGCCCGGGCTGCGCAGCCGCTGCCCGGAGCCGGGAGGGCGGCCGGGGCCAGGCTACCCCCCCTCGGGCGGGGGTGGGGCCGGGGAGGGCCCTCGTGCGGCCTGGCCTGGCGATCAGATGGTAGAGGCCTCCCATATGGGGTCGGAGCAGACGGGGTCGGAGGATCGCGCCGCATCGCCGATGCATCGGCGGTGCGCCAGCGATGCATCGTCGACGTCGGCGGTGCATCGGCGACGTCGGCGTGAAGCAAGTCGGGCTCCGCATCGAGCCGCCTCGGCAATGCATCGGCGATGCGGATCGATCCTTCGACCCCATCTGCTCGGACCCCATCTGGGAGGCCTAGAAATTGGCCTGCAGCCAGAGGTACGACTGAAAAACGGCTTTCGCACTGTAAATATTCTTCAAGAGGTGATGGGCGCTTCCTCGGTCCAGCTCGAGGTGCAGGCCCCCTCCGCGGGCACAGCCGGGGGTTGGGGAGCATCGTCTGGATCGGGATCCGGCGGTGGAAACACCGGACGGGGTCCTGGCGCACCAAATGGGGGTGGAGGTGGTGGCCCACCTCCGGGTCAGAGTGCTCCGAGATCCCGGCATCTGCATTTTCTCGAGCCGGGCGTTTTCGCTTCTTCTGCTTCGGCCCCCGGGACCCTTACGGATCGATCCGGCTCGAAGAGTGACGGAGCAAGATGGGGTTTCGGGTTCCGGGCGTGATGTCTTAGGATGCTGCAAGCTTTTCGCCACGTCGGATCCCAGGGGGAGGGAGCCAAACGGTCATTCGCTGTCCCTGGGTGCGTGACTGAAGTGGGGTTCCACGGTGCGGACTATGATTGCGCTGCGTTGTCGTAATCGCTCTTGCCCGCGACCCGCCCGCGGCACACCCGCGACCCACCCCGCGACCCACCCCGCGACCACCCCGCGACCCACCCCGCGACCCACCCTGCGACCCACCCGCGACCTATTCACGTCACCTTGACGAAGAGATTGTCACCTGTGGCGGGCTTGCGGCGTCATGTGTCAAAAATCGGCGGCTGCGGCGGGCTTCTTCAGAGCTTCGCAGACTGCCGACGATCCCGCCGCCCCCTCACTCCTATCTGCGGTTGCGGGGTGCTACGGTATTGACGCAGCTGACGCGGCAAGCGCGCGCCGCGACGACATTTCAGAGCTTCGCAGACTGCCGGCGATCCCGCCGCCCCCTCACTCCTATCCGCGGTTGCGGGGTGCTACGTATTGACGCAATTGACGCGGCAAGCGCGCGCCGCGACGACGTGGGCCCTGCTCCCAGACCCCCGACGCCGTGCTTTTTTGCAACGTCGATCCCCAGAGGTCTAGACCTCCTCCCTGGGGCTGGCTTCACATCCCGAGCCGTTTTTTGACGGGCCCCGGGCCCCGTGAGAGCCCGCGGAGGCCGAAAACAGCGAGAAACCCCTCCCGTCGCGTGTTTTGCACAGCGCGAGGGGGTCTGGCGCTCTGGACGCCTCGCCCAAGACAGGCTCGCGCCGCAGCAAGATGGCAGCAGGAAGTCTGGACGGCTCTCGGCCTCCGGGGGCCCTCCAGCGGGGGAGGAGGAGGGAGCGAGCCCGGCCAGCGGGGCCCCAGGGCTTCCCCTGGCGATGCTGAAAATGGGCTACGTTTAAGTCGGGCGTGTCCCCCTACAGGGGGATGTTCGACGGAAAATCAAAGATACCCCCAAAAATACCCAAAAAATAATCCAAAAATGGTCTGGGGACTAGTGTTTGATCATTTTTTGATCTTTTTGAGCATTTTGGGGGTATTTTGATATTTTTCGTCGAAAATCCCCCTGTAGGGGGACAGGCCCGACATAATTCTATGTGGCCGCGTCCTTGATGCAGCGTTGCCAACCTGCGGCGGTCGAACACCCGTGTCGGCTGGCGTGCTGTGTCACCCTCTCTGGAGCCCTCGGGGGGGGAGCCCCCGAGAGCCCAACAGGGGTGATGTGATCCCGTGTTGGCCCCGTGACCCGACGGGGCTGGGTAAGCCCGTGTTGGCCAGGACCGCAGCTGCAGCTGCGAGCCATTGTGGCATGGACGGCGGCGTGTGGGGTCTCCGAGAGTCCCGACCCTTTCCCCGGGGCCCGGCTTCTCGTCCCGAGCCGTCTTTTGACGGCCCCAGGCCCCAGCGAGGGGCCCCCCTTGGCTCCCCAACCTCAACGTCATGATTCCCGCACGTCGACCCCTGGGGGTCTGGATCCACTCCCCGGGATAGATTTCTCATCCTGCGTCGTTCTTTGACGCTCCCGAGGCCCGGTAAGGGCCCCCAGGGGCGGGCAGTGGCGAAGCACCTCCCGTCGTGACTTGCGCCGAGACGCGAGGAGGCCGGGGGGCCGCGGGCGGAGAAGCACCCAAAACCTCCCGCCGCCAGTTGTCGCGACGCCCAGGAGGCCTGGGAATGCGGCACATGGATGTGCAAGCCGCCCTGCAACCTGAGGGCAAACCACCACGACCACCACCCACCCCGGGTGCTGCCGCCGCCGCCGCGCTGCTGCCGCTGCTGCTGCGATGGGCTCTGGCTCGGCTCTCCGGCCTCCTCCTCCTCCTCCTCCTCCTCCTCCTCCTCCTCCTCCTCCCTCCTCCTCCTCCCCCCCTCCTCCCCCTCCTCCTCCTCCTCCTCCTCCTCCTCCTACTCCTCCTCCTCCTCCTCCTCCTCCCCTCCTCCTCCTCCTCCTCCTCCTCCCTCCTCCTCCTCATCCTCGTCCTCCTCCTCCTCCTCCTCCTCCTTCCTCCTCCTCCTCCTCCTCCTCCTCCTCCTCCCTCCTCCTCCTCCTCCTCCTCCTCCTCGTCCTCTCCTCGTCCTCCCCCGGCCTCCTCTCCCGCCCAGGGGGTCCCGGAGCCCCGCCTGGCGCGCGGCTCCCGCGGCATGGGCCGTGCCCCGTGGGCCCCCCCTCCGGGGGACCCCACGGCAGGCCTGGGAGCAACCGTACAATGAAAGGACGAGACGAGGGCAGGCGGGCAAGACGCGAGAAGAGGGCAAGTGTCCGCGCGTCCGCTTGTCTCGTCTATGGCCGCATCGCGTGCAGTGCAGCAGCTAGGCACTCAGTGCCTGTAGTGTAAAGAAGCGCGGCGCGGGGCGCGGCGTGCGTAATGTACGGCAGGCCTGGGAGGGCGAGAAGGTGCCGATGCCGCTAGTATTATGTCGGGCGTGTCCCCCTAGAGGAGGATTTTCGACGAAACGTCGAAAACACCCCCAAAAATACCCCAAGGAGGTCAAAAAATACTTTAAACATAGTCCCCAGACTATTTTTGTACTATTTTTTGACTATCTGTTGGGTGACTATTTTTACCTAACAGCTCTTGCTGATAGGTTTCTAGTGGTCTCAAAAGAGAGCATCATGACTCCTCAGGGGGGTCTGGGCGGGACCCGGGGACTGCCGCCGAAGCCGAAATCGCTTGGGACATCCTCGCAAAATCGCTCTTGGTGCTCCCAGAACTCCATTCCCGGGCCACATTTTGGATGCCCGGAGCCAACTGTAGGCCACTTCGTGCTCTTCGACTTCCCAGAACTCCATTCCCGGGCCACATTTTGGATGCCCGGAGCCAACTGTAGGCCACTTCGTGCTCTTCGACTTCCCAGAACTCCATTCCCGGGCCACATTTTGGATGCCCGGAGCCAACTGTAGGCCACTTCGTGCTCTTCAAGTTCCCAGAACTCCATTCCTGGGCATGATTTTGAATGCCCGGAGCCAACTGTAGGCCACTTCGTGTTATTCTAGTTCCCAGAACTCCATTCCTGGGCCACATTTTGAATGCTGAGGCAGGCTGATGCTGCGGCCGAGGCAGGCTGAGGCTGAGGCAGGCTGAGGCTGAGGCCGAGGCTGAAGGCAGACTGAGGCTGAGGCTGAAGCAGGCTGAGGCTGAGGCTGAGGCAGGCTGAGGCTGAGGCTGAGGCAGGCTGATGCTGAGGCAGGCTGAGGCTGAGGCTGAGGCTGATGCATGCTGAGGCTGAGGCAGGCTGAGGCTGAGGCCGAGGCTGAAGGCAGACTGAGGCTGAGGCTGAAGCAGGCTGAGGCAGGCTGAGGCTGAGGCTGAGGCAGGCTGAGGCTGAGGCTGAGGCAGGCTGAGGCTGAGGCTGTGACTGCGACTGCCGTTGCCGCTGCGACTGTCATCGCGAATGCGACTACGACTGCGAGAACAGCAGAATTCTACAACTGGATTCTCATCTGAATCTTAAGGGGAATGCTTTTTCAGATATGCGTCTACACATCGCTGTTAGGTTGCTTTGCCGGGATAATTTGACTATCTGTTGGGTATTTTTTATTTCTCATCGAAAATCCCCCTGTAGGGGGACAGGCCCGACAGAACGCTAGTAGCGGATGCACTGGAGAAGGAACCGTTGGGTAAGGAATCCAGGGGCCCCAAGCCCCCTCGCGCGGCGACATAATCACGACTGGGAGGTTCTCGCTAGTTCCGGCCTCCAGGAGCCCTTACTGGGCCCCGGGACCGTCCAAGAACGACTCAGGATGAAAAACCGGCCCCGGGGAAGGGGTCCAGACCTCTGGGGGTCGACGTTGCGAAGAAATCACGACGTCGGGGATCTGGATCTGGGAGCAAGTGGAACACCAATTGAAGCTTGGCCACGGACTACCACCGCCGCTCATCTCAGATGAGGAACCCTCATTTCTTGACCGTCGCCCCCACCGTACTCCCGGGACCTCTCCCACCAGAATTTCGAAGAGAACTGGCGACGAGGGCTCTCCAGGAGGAGCAGCGGTACCGATACCTTCTCCTCCACTGAAGCGCGTGCCAGGCGTTCAAGGCTGCACGCTCGCGCCAAACAAACAAACAAACAAAACGACTGGAGCCATGGACCGCAGCCTTCTGCTGCGTCTGTCCCGCCAGGGCAGCAACGCCTGCACCACGGCCCGCCCTCCGGCCGCCTGAGGCCCCGCCCGCCTGTGCTCTGTCTCCCCAATGAGTGCTTTGCGCGGCCCGCCTAGCTCTTGACCGGAAGAGCCTCGCTCTCGACCCGCGAGGAGCCCAGGGCCCAAGACAAGGCACAACCGCACCGGGCAACCCCAAAAAAAGTGCGGCGCCGGGATCTCGAGAAAGCCTGCCGTGCTCTCCCCGTGCCCGGAGCGGAGCCGTGGGCGATGCCGCCGAGCCCCAGCTGGCCCATCGTGCCGTCGCCCCACGCGAAGACCGCGCCTGCCTCCTGCACCTCTGCGGTGGGGGGAGCGTTAAGGGGGTCGGCGCAGCGTCAAGGGGGGGGACGACAGCCCAGGGGCGTTTCTGATATCCTTTGGCGCGTCACGGTCGCCACCTGGGCCCACACCCCTCCTCCCCTCCTCCTCTCCTCCTCCTCCTCCTCCTCCTCCTCCTCTCCTCCTCCTCCTCCCCCTCCTCCCTCTCCTCCTCCCCCTCCTCCTCCTCCTCCTCCTCCTCCTCCTCCTCCTCCTCCTCCTCCTCCTCCTCCTCCCCCTCCTCCTCCCCCTCCTCCTCTTTCTCCTGGGCAACGTGGCAACGGGAACGATCACACGTGGGGGGGGAAGACTGGACTCCCCCGCGCGTGCTGGTGCTCGCGCGCATGCTGTGGCCTTCGCAGAGCACCCCAGCCCGACGTGGCCCACCCCGCCCAAGTCGTCACCATTACCCATCCCCCCCCCATGGGTAGCGACCATTCGGCGGTGGACAAACCTCCCTTTAGTAAACCTCCCCTTAATGAAAACGGCCTGGGACCGAAACCGACGGACCTGGACCCGGAGAAATGACGGCCGCGACGCCCTTTCGCGCACCGAAAACGGCCAGTTCCTTAATCGACGTGTCTGGGTAGGAGGTCTGTCCACCTCCGAACCATTACCGGACATGTCATAAAAACAATCTCCCAGACATGCTAGCGCCTTGAGATTAAAAGACGGGAAATCGCTCCGTCGCTCTCGGCCTCCACAGGCCCTTGCTGGGCCCCAGAGCCGTCCAAAAACTGCCCGGGAGGAAAAGCTGCTCCCACAAGAGTATGCAGAAAAAGCTCCAGGGGTCCTCGCTGTGAGGGTCGACAGGGCGACTCGAAGCTCGAGGTTGTCGCAGGCTTCCGTCGATCCTCGGCGGCTCGGGTACTCTCCAGCAGCTGGCTGCGAAGGGCGTCCGGGCGTGCCCGGATCCTCCCGCACGGTCGCCGGAGACATAACGCATGGCCCGAGAAGCAAACGACAAGGATCCTTCGGGAGGGACCGGCTCGGGGGGGGGGGCATCGAGCTGGCACCGGCGACACATCGCGGATAGGTCGGCGACCCGCCCGCACACGCCTGGGCGGGGTGGGCCATCAGGCCCCGATGTCGGCGGTCAAGGTGCGATTGGGGGGCGACGCATCCCCCCCTGAGCCTACTCGTTCTCCCCCCCCCCAACGTTGCCCCCGAACCTCCATGGTCACCCAGAGCCGGGCGGCTCCAGCGCGGCCCCTCTCGAGCCGCTTCAGCTCCTCGGCCGCCTCGTACGTGACGCAGGCGATGGGCACCTCAGGGGGGGGCACGAAGGGGAGATACTTGTGTTTTACGGGAGCAGGAGTAGGGAGTGGACCACTGCAGATGACGAAGGCGGCAGGACAAGCATGAAACCATGGAGCGAGCCTCCTCGACCGAGCGAGCAACCATGCAAACGTGGTGAGCTGTGGGAACGCGGCCCAGCTCCACCGGGCGCACGCCGTAACAGTCCGGTCGGCAAGCGCTCACAGAACGAGTGCAGAGCGAAGAGAAGCTGGGCGCGAGCGCTCGGAGGTCTACGCGGGATTCCCCTGTTGGAGGCCTGGAAATGGGCACCAACACCAACACAGGGGGGTTGCCTCCACAGGGGGACGATGATCCTAGATGTCGGTGTTGGTGGTAATTGTTCGGTCACCCTGGAAGCCAGAATATCACCACCATCACCGAGATCGGGACCTTCTTCCCTCGGTGGAGACACACCGCCGATATTGGTGTTGTTGTCAACCTCTAGGCCTGCGACCCTGGTCGGCGCTGGGGCCCCCCTGCCCCCACGGCCCTGGGCGGCGACTGCGGGCGCCGACCCCCCCGCGCGCGCTCCTCTTTCCCGGCTCGCGGGGGGCGGCGCCGGGAGACGCCGCCCGGGGTCAGCTGCACGCAGGCGTGACCCTGTGCCAAGGGTGCCTTTGGCGCGCGGCTTGCCGATAGAGCCTCTGGTTCTCGACGGTGGTTGCTATATGTTGCACTCTCGGGGGGCCTCGTCTGTCCCGTCGCACCGCGATCCTCGTCGAATCGGGTGCGCCCGGTGCAGCGCCGGAAATGGTCCGTGGGGGTGCGCTGGGGGCCCGTGGGGCGATTTTGCGAGGATGTCTCGAGCGAGGGCGCCGGTTTGGGACACGCCGGGCGCGCCCGGTGCGCCCGGCGCAGCGCTGGAAATGGTCCCTGGAGGTGCGTTTGGAAGCGACTCTCCCGCGCGCCGGGGGTAAGGATGACGTGAAATCCACAGAAACTCCCTCATAGGAGTAATAGTCGTGTTGTTCGTTTGGATGTTATTACTAGCTGGAAGCTCTGCGGTTGATCGGGAGTTTCTGTATATGGAGAAAAGGCGCGTGCGCCTGTGCTCGATGACGATGGTGATAATGAGCGGGTGGCGTTGGTGCGGCGGGTGAGGATTGGGCGAGCGAGGATGAGGAGAATGAAGATCAGGGAGGGTGAGGATCGGGCGGGCGGGGATCACCTGGGGGTCCCTGGGGGTGCGCTGAGGGCCCGTGTGGCGATTTTGCAAGGATGTCTCGAGCGAGGGCGCTGGGTTGGGACACGCCCGACGCGCCCGGTGCGCCCGGGGCAGCGCCGGAAATGGTCCCTGTGGGTGCGCTGGGGGTCCGTGAGGCGACTTTGCAAGGATGTCTTGAGCAAGAGCGCTGGGTTGGCACACGCCCGACGCGCCCGGTGCAGCGCTGGAAATGGTCCTTAGGGGTGCGCTGGGGGCCCGAGTGGCGATTTTGCAAGGATGTCTCGAGCGACGGCGCCGGTTTGGGACACGCCGAGCGCGCCCGGTGCGCCAGGCGCAGCGCCGGAAACGGTCCCTGAGGGTGCCCTGGGGGCCCGTGTGGCGATTTTGCAAGGATGTCTCGAGCGAGGGCGCCGGGTTGGACACGCCCGGCGCGCCCGGTGCGCCCGGTGAAGCGCCGGAAATGTTCCCTGGAGGTGCGCTGGGGGCCCGTGGGGCGATTTTGCGAGGATGTCTCGAGCGAGGGCGCCCGGTTGGGACACGCCCGGCGCGCCAGGTGCGCCCGGTGCAGCGCCGGAAATTGTCCGTGGGGGTGCGCTGGGCGCCCGCGGGGCGATTTGGCGAGGATCTCTCGAGCGAGAGCGCCAGGTTGGGACACGCCCGGCGCGCCCGGTGCGCCCGGCGCAGCGCCGGAAATGGTCCCTGGAGGTGCGTTGGGGGCCCGCGTGGCGATTCTGCGAGGATGTCCTGGGAGTGCACTGGGGGCCCGTGGGGCGATTTTGCAAGGATGTCTCGAGCGAGGGCGCCCGGTTGGGACACGCCCGGCGCGCTTGGCGCGCCCACTGCAGCGGAGAAATGGTCTCTGAGGGTGCGCTGGGGGCCCGTGGGGCGATTTTGCGAGGATGTCTCGAGCGAGGGCGCCGGTTTGGGACACGCCCGGCGCGCCCGGCGCGCCCGGCGCAGCGGCGGAAATGGTCCCTGAAGGTGCGTTTGGAAGCGACTGAAGCGACTCCCCCGCGCGCCAGGGGTAAGGACGACATGAGTTCCACAGAAACTCCCTCAAACTATTCGTGGTCAGTAGTTATTACCTTTACGAATGCTGTTATTACGAATGGTGGTAGGGTAGTAGTAGTAGTAGTAGTAGTAGCAGTAGTAGTAGTAGTAGTAGTAGTAGTAGTAGTAGTAGTAGTAGTAGTAGTAGTAGTAGTGTATTAGTAGTAGTAGTAGTAGTAGTAGTAGTAGTAGTAGTAGTAGTCGTAGTAGTAGTAGTAGTAGTAGTATTAGTAGTAGTAGTAGTAGTAGTAATAGTGATAGTAGTAACAGTAGCAATACTTCTAACATTGGTATGCGTTGTGTTGTAAGTGAAAGTGTCTAACATAAGTGCTGGTGTAAGCCATATCAGTAGCATAAATAGCGGTGATAACGAAACAAATAGTAATGATTGTTTAATGAATAAAAAGAGAGAGAGAGAGAGAGAGAGAGAAAGAGAGAGAGAGAAAGGTTCGCATCAACATCAGCGTTGCTATTCGCATTGCAAACAAATTTAGTTGTCTTACTACTGTCATCAATCGTGTTGCGATTGTCATTAGCATCAAACTAAATAGTATCGTTATTAGTGGTACGAACAGTCGAATTACTTTTGGTGCTACGACTCATGATAATGTCATGGCTAGTACGATTTAGAATACTGCGATAAGTAATCGCATTGGTTGCGGTTGTAGGAATAGCACGAGTAGAAGCAGCACGGTTAGTATTACGAACAGCATCTTAAAATGTGTACCCAAAAACATCGGCAACAACAACAATCAGTTAAAGACTGTTCGCTATGATCTGCTCGCGTGTCATTCAATATGCATATCCCAAACCCTGGATACCCGCCCTCTTCGTCTTCGATCGTACCCCCTTTTGGGGGGGCATATTCATTCCCTGCCGCGCGTGGTTGGTGAAGCCCTTGAAAACGAAGGGAAACAGATGACGGGGGATAATGAGGACGAAGGGATCGGAGGAAGGGAGGGGAGGGGCAAGAAGGAGGGAAGGCGACGATTTGCGCTGCGAGTGGCGATTCAGCTTGCGCCAGCCACTCCAACACAGGTTAACAACAAATTTCGCCATGGGTCGCGCCATAAACAGCGCCACGCACCACCCCCTTGAAAAAACATATCATGGATACCCCCACGGGAGGACGTACAGCTGCAAACTGGTGTCAGAAACAAATTCCGTGGAACCCTGAAAAGAAGCGGGATGTTGGGAGAGCGGGGCGGAAGGATAGTGAGAACTGCAATCGTGTCAAGAGGAGCGCGGAAGCCCCAAGTGAGAGCGCGACTCTTCAATAAACTGTAAAGAAATATCAAGCGGGAGCCGCGATCTGGTGATAAATTGCAAGGAAATCCGAGGCGAGAGCGCGATTCTTCAATAAATTGTGAGGAAGTATCAGGCGGGAGCCGCTGTTGTTGTAAACCGCGGGCCAACGACACAGTTTGACCCTCAGGACTTTCCTTTTTTTTTTTTTTTTTTAAAAAAAAAAAAAAAAAAAAAAAAAAAAAAAAAAAAAAAAAAAAAAAAAAAAAAAAAAAAAAAAAAAAAAATGCGAGCCCCGGGGGGCACTTCAATCGAAAAAAACTAATGTGCACCCGACGGGGGAAATCAACAATAATTATTCAGAAATGAGAATTCAACAAACGTATTTCACGGGCGCGGGGGGGGGGGGGGGGGCCAACACTGGGCGACGTCGCCCAAAACCAGGGGGACTCCCCTCCCCCCTTACCCCCCCCCTCCTCCCGAACCCCCCCCCCCAAGGCGCCAGCGCTGGCGGCGGCCAGCGGCCAGCAGCTCCGACGGCGGGGAGGCAGCAGAGATGACCAGCGAGGGCCAAGAGGCCGCAGAGGGGAAACACAAAGCGCCATATCGAACCCTCGCCCCCCAAAGGCCACCCAAAAGCCCTTAGGAAGGTCCAGGAGGCTTCACAAATGATCCTCACACGCCCCCGAGACCCCTCTGACGAGACCTCAAGAGGCATCCATTAGAACTTCGACCCAAAGCCAAAACACGGTGGCGGGAAGACCCGAAGGCCACACCACCACCACCACCAAAACCCACCACCACCACCACCGCCAAACCACCACACCACCAACACCACCACCACAACCACCACCACCACCACCAGCCACCACCCACCACCAGCACCAAAACCACCACCAGCAGCACCACCACCACCAACACCACAGCCCACCACTACCACCACCACCACGCCAAACCACCCACGCCACCACCACCACCACCATCGCCATCACCACAACCACCACCACCACCAGCTCAACGAACCACCACCACCAGAACCCACCACCACACAACCATCACCACCACAGACACCACCACCACCACCACCACAACCACAACAAAACACCACCACCATCACCACTACTCCATCACCACAAACTACCATACCACCACCACCACGACCGCCACAACCACCGCCACCACAACCACCAGCACAACCCACCACCACAACCACAAACCACCACAGCACCACCACCACAAACCACCACACCACCACCACCACCACCAACACCACCGACACAACAGCCCACCACTACCACCACCACCACCTCACCACCAGAACAGCATACCACCACCACCACCATCACCACCACAATCCACCAAACCACCACCACAACAACAAACCACCACACCACCACAACCACCACCACCAGCACCACCTCCGCAACCCACCACCACCACCACCACCACTGCCACCACCACCACCACGACCACAAACCACCACACCACAGCCACCACCATCACCGCCAC